CTTTCTTCAGCTACGTTAGGCTCGTAGAAGAAGTTCCTGTTCTCTGTTAGAATTACGGGGTTAGTGTAGACCTGGCCTAACACATTTATTTGGGCATACGCTTTCGTGGGCTAGAACCCACTTCATCAGATGCATGAAGTGAAAAATACAGGAACTGGTGTAAATATAAGGATGGGGGTTGCTTTACCAAGTGTGAGGTCAGTCTAACGAGATAAATCAATTAACAGCAGGATACCAAGGGAGGAAAAATAACTTTTGAAGTAGTAAGAGAGTGGTCCATTACAGACAGGTGACAAGAAGGTGTGAGTAACAGTAGGGAGAAATTAGTATTGGGGAAATTAAGTTTAGGTTTTGTGATGACCCAACCACTCCCAGTCTTTATTCAGGCCTAGTCTGATGGTATCCAGTTTGAAAATTAATTCCAGTTCTGCAGCTTCACGTTGGAGTCTGTTTTTGAAGTTTTTGTTGTTGAAGAATTGCCACTTTTATGTCTGTTATTGAGTGACCAAAAAAACTAAAATGTTCTCCTACTGGTATTTCAATGTTATGATTCCTGATGTCAGATTTGTGTCCATTTATTCTTTTGCGTAGAGATTGTCCGGTTTGGCCTGTGTACATGGCAGAGGGGCATTGTTGGCACATGCTAGCATATATCACGTTGGTAGATGTGCAGGTGAATGAGCCCCAGATGGTGTAGCTGATGAGGTTAGGTCCTGTGATGGTGTCCCTTGAATAGATATGTGGACAGAGTTGGCACCAGGGTTTATAGCAGGGTTTGGTTCCTGCGTTGGTGTTTTTTGTTGTGTGGTGTGTAGTTGCTGGTGAGTATTTGCTTCAGGCTGCGGGGCCTGTCTGTAGGCGAGGACTGGCCTGTCTCTCAAGGTCTTGTTATTCATTTAAACGTATAATCCCTTTATGAATCCTGCTAAAGTCTTGACAAAAGTGATATCTTGTCACAATGAGTTCTACAGGTTAATTAACCCTCTGCACATTTGTTCTGTACTGAAAGTCCAGAAGATTCAACATGTAACTACTCCCTTCATTCCAAACTTGTAAAAGTAATATCAGTAGAGTGGTACAGTATA